ACTTAATAGTTCTATTAAAAATTCAGTTTGACTACTTTCTTTTTCAACTCTAAAATTCAACTTCAGTTCCAAAATTCTGGTTTTTGTGTCACACATCTGGGTCCCTGAGAAAGCCAGACAGAATAATCAAACACAGAGCAACAGATTTACGTTTCACTTTGGTTAATTTTCCATTGATGCAATCCACCGTAAAAGTGACAAAAACAGACAAAGTTGTTTTATTGCAGTGATTAATTTTCCATTTAAAGTGCTTTTTTTTACCAGTTTGATGAGATAACAGCTGTTGCTTGCAGAGCTAAGACCAAGATGGGTTGCTGCTGATATAAAACAATTAATTCAATGCAATTTTATTAATTTTTACAATTTTAAATTATGCAGTATTCTGGCAAAAATATTGTGATATTACAACTCAAAGTGCCTCATGTTGCACCAAAATGCAAAACTGACAGCACTGTAAGTTTATAAGACTGTGTTCACATGAACGTGTTTTAGAGATTAAACCACTTTAGTGCTCTGTTCACTAGCTGTTCAATCATCATTCTGGTCAGAATTAAACTCTTTCTGCAAACTGAGATCTGAAAAATCACTTTAATTATAATCGTTTTCAAAAGTTTGTGTCGCTGAATAAAAACTGCCTGAGTCTTTTCTCATTGTCTGTTTCTATATCTTAGTGTTCGACTCATCAAACTGTAGCGTAATGTCCTTGTTTTTACTCCTCTGCTGCCTCGGTCCTCTCTGCCCGCTCCAGATCACAGCCGTTCAGAGATGGATCTGTCAGCTCCTGGATCCGAACAGAGCGATGACGCCCTCAGTCTGAGGAGTCGCTCTGTCCCCGGACTCAATGAAGCAGTAAGCACCATCACTCCATGTCAGCCTCAGTTTTACCACTAACTCACCTCAGTCACAGAAACAGAAAGCTCTGATAGTAAAGTTAACTAACGGTGAATTTCCAGCGCAAACACTTTGGAGAACTCCCCATCTATTGTACAATCACACTATTCTGAGGATTTATGAGCCTGTAAACTAGATGTGATGCATCGGCTGTGGGTGTGAATGTTAATTTTACATCAGAGCTCACTTCAAAGAGCTCGACGTGCATCTAAACAGACAAACAGGTGGACAGTGTGACGGTCAGTATTTTGCTTGTATTTTCAGTTGCCATTAATTTGCATTCAAAGCGCCTAACAGAAAACACTCAAAACACAAATTATTTTCCTTTCTCTGCTCAGTCACACAGTCACGCTCAGAAGTCAAACAGATGACGTTAAGATCTGAACGTGAAAATCAATTTGTCACGCTCTGTCTGGTTGGATTTGTGGCGCAACGTCCACACGGCGCCCTCGTCTGTTTGATCACAACGCTGTCGCCCACAGGAGTTTTCTGACGAGGAGGAAGACATCGACGCCCTGATGTCGGCCCACAGCCGGAGCGCCGGCCGGAGCATCAGCAGCGCAGTGTCAACGGTACAGTTCAAACACGTTTGTCTCTGTTTACACACCCTGACTGTAAATACYATGTGAAGGAAGCTCGCTTTGTTTAAACAAACAGGTAGTTTCTCCTGAGCGGCATTTGTCAATATGAGAGGCCAAGGTGGACAATGATTTTCTTGGGTCTGTTCAGTTGTTGTTCTGTTAGCACAATATCTGTTCTTATATTTGGTAAATTTTAACTTTTTTAAGTAAATTTTTACTAAATGTTAAATTTAAATGTAAAATTTTATGTCTGTATGTTAATTACTAAATCTAAATGTAAAAATTAAATCTTAAATTTTGCAGCTAAATGA